TCCCCTGTGAATCCTAAATCATCTTTCCAGCCACCTCATTTTGTCTGCATTTTCTCTTCCCCACTCCTCACTTCTGTCTCCACTTGCCAGCCTCTCGCCAAGGGGGGCCCTCCCCAAAGACCTGATTTGTCACCAGGGTAGCAGAGGAGTGGCAGGACTCTTAGACCATTTGTAAAACAGACAGGAACTGGCTCAATGGCCCGAGAAAGCGACATAATTTTTTTTTTTTTTTTTTTGCGGTACGCGGGCCTCTCACTGTTGTGGCCTCTCCCGTTGCGGAGCACAGGCTCCGGACGCGCAGGCTCAGCGGCCATGGCTCACGGGCCCAGGCGCTCCGCGGCATGTGGGATCTTCCCAGACCGCGGCACGAACCCGTGTCCCCTGCGTCGGCAGGCGGACTCTCGACCACTGCGCCATCAGGGAAGCCCAGCGACATAAAATTTTAACACAGTAGAAAAATCCAAGAGGTTTATGGTATTGAATGCTGTCATTACTTTCTCAATATTTCCTACACACCTGGAGTCTTTCGTCCCCTTTTTTCTTTCCGTTCTCCTTTCCTTCTGTCACGCTCCAGCCTGACGTGCCTCTCCTGCTGCCACTCTCCTGGCCTTCCTCCACACCCCCTCCCCAGCCATCTGGAGGAATGAAGGGATGAGGTTATGCACCTCTCTCCCCGCAGCACATACCAGCACCCTCCCTGACCCAGGGTTTCAACAATGGCCCCAATGTTCCAGAAAAGGACAATACAGCTGCATAAAGCATGAGCCAACAAAAGGAAGCATGGTTTACAGTTCACATTTTACATAACTGCTTCACTTCTGAGACAGAGTATCTACAATTCCTCATTCCAATAAGATAAAAACAAAACTCTCAGCATTGTCTAGTGGAAAAGGATTCTTCAAGAATGCAATGCAGAACCCTTTGTTACTCCCCTCTATGTGTTCGTCTCTCTCTGTTTACCTCCCCACACGTGAATCCTGCTATGGTTTGCCCCCAGTCCCTTTTGTACTGCACTCCTCCCCAAGCCCAGCCAAGTGTGAGCTGGACCTCCTCTACTCCTGAACCAGATCAGGTCTCAAGGGCTAGGCTCCCTCTGTCCTCGCCTTCAGACAGGAGGACCTCACAAGAGACCAGAGCTCCTCTGAAGGCTGCTGCTCTCTCTGCAGGCATTTGGAAATCACTTCTTTGCTTTCAAGCAGTTACATGATCTAAACCAGGACTCATCCCTCTTTTAATACAGGCAGCCTCTTCCTCTTAAGGCTTCATAAATGATCATTTCAGAACCATACAGGTCTCCCCCACTGGACTCAGACCTCCTTAGGGGCAGAGGTTGTATTTCATTCATCTTTCTCTCCCTAGCCCCGGCTATTGCCTCTGACACGTGGCTGTACTTGGTAAATGTTTGTTCACCTGAAAGTGCAATTGACAAATATGCTTTCACCCAGTGGCATCTTTGTGTGAGTGAATGTCTCAGGTTCCTGGCTGAGCACAGGCTCAGAATAGGGGATGGGAGGAAGTAGCAGGAGGACTTAGGGCTCGGGGCAGTGTGTCAGAGGGCACGGGCAGTTCCTAGGTTGGAGAACATTCTCCTTAGACCGGTTGTACTTCTCAGCTGTACAGAAAAATAGCTCCTCCTACATTATCAGGACAGACGTGTGTGCTTAGGGGAGGGTGAGAGGGGGGCCTTCTATCACCATCAAGGACCTGCATTGAGCCAGTGTTGTATGGTGGGGAAAAGACCATGCCTGAGTCAGCCAGACAGGCCTGGGTGTGAATCCTGATTCTACCACCTAGCAGCTATAGACTTGGGCCAATTACGTAATTTTAATTATTTGAAATTTTCTCATTTCTAAAACGGGCAAAATACTGTTTTAAAGGATCATTGGCATCATTCAATTTGATAAGGCTTTCAAAGCCCTGGTACCGAGTCTGACACATTGCATATACTCAATAAATGACAATTAGTAGTAGAGGCTGTGGTAGTAGTATTGCTTTAATTATTTGGTTGGGTGGAGACGAGAACTCTTCTTTTCCTCATCATTTCTTCACTAAGATTTCGTGTCCTCTTGATGACAGTTCAGAGTTAATGACTCATTGAGAGCTAGTCCTGACTTTTAAAGCTAGTAAACTTAAACCTCCATTCTTCTTTTTTTTCCCCCTCGTTTTTTTTCCTCTCCTCCCTTCCCAACTCTTCACTTCTGGGTACCTCTTTCTCTCCTTTCATTTTTATAACCCCCCCCCCAGTCAATATGTATACCGTGTTCTTCATTTACTCTAAGGTGTGAAGGACTGATAAGTACTACAGTGTTAGTCCCAGGTGATATTTGCACAGAAAGAACAAAATCCTTTAAGTGAAAATATTAAGACGCTTTGAGTTCAGTGTTTGTCAAATTGAGGTTTTAATTTAAAGGAGCAAATTTAGTGGCTCTTACTATCATTTATTAAAATAATATCGTGCCTTATTACAACATGTTATTTAGTGTACTAATGTAGAGGGAAAAAATGGAAATAATTTCAAAGTCTAGGGGGAAAATGCATTTGCTTTGACCTTCAAGTGGAAGTTACTTTTTTTTAGCAATCCATTTATACCATTTTCTGTCCCAGGTTTTAAATAGCCAGCCTGGCTGAATTTAATTCTTAAAAATGAGTGAACAAATGGTAACATCAAAGGAGTTAAGCAGAGGAGGTGATGCTGATAAAAAGTTGAAACTGGAACTGAACATTTTCAGATTCCTTTTTTCCAAAGGAAAATCAAACAAATAATAAAGGTCCATTTTCTATGCATCCTAATGCCGTGTCACTTAATTAGGAAATCATGATGTGGAAAAAAATGTCTTTCTGGATTACATTTGACTAGGGTACCAAAAGCACTATGAATAAAAGGAAAAACTGATAAACTGAACCACATCAAAACTAAAACCTTTTGCTCTGCAAAAGTATCTGTAAAAGGATAAGGTACAGATTGTGAAAAATTTGCAAATCAAAGAACTCTCAAAACTGAACAGTAAAATAATCAAAAAATGGGCAAAAAGCATTTCACAGAAGAGGATATACAGATTGCAAATAAGCACGTGGAAAGATGTTCCACATCATTAGCTATTAGCGAAAGGCAAAGTAAGACCTCAGGACACATTTATAAAAATGACCTAAATAAAAAATAGTGACAACACCAAATGCTGGTGAGGATGCAGAGAAACTGGAATGCTCACACATTGCTGGTGGGAATGTAAAATGGCACAGTCACTCTGAAAAACATCTTGGCAGTTTCTTAAGAAACTGTAACTACCATGTGAGCCAGCAATTGCACTACTCGGTATTTATCCCAGAAAAGTGAAAACTTACGTTCACACAAAAACCTGTACATGAGTGTTCATAGGAGCTTCATTTGTAATACCCAAACCTGGAACTAGTCCATGTGTCCTTCAGTGGGTGAAAGGGTGAAAAAACCTGGTACATCCCAGAAGGTTACATGCTATATGATTTCATTTATAGAACATTCTTGAAATGACAAAATTATAGAAATGGAGAACACATGTGGCTATAAAAGGGCAACATGAGGGATTCTTGTGGTGATGGAATGTTCTGTATCTTTTATTTTTTTTATTTATTATTTTTTTTGCGGTACACGGGCCTCTCACTGCTGTGGCCTCTCCCGTTGCGGAGCACAGGCTCCAGACGTGCAGGCCCAGCAGCCACGGCCCACGGGCCCAGCCGCTCCACGGCATGCGGGATCCTCCAGGTCCCGGGCACGAATCCGCATCCCCTGCATCGGCAGGCGGACTCTCAACCACTGCGCCACCAGGGAAGCCCAATGTTCTGTATCTTAATTGTATTGACGTCAATATCCTGTTGTGACATTGTACTACCATTTTGCAATATGTTACCACTGGGGGAAACTGGATGAAGAGTACACAGCATCTCTGTGTACTATTTCTCACAACAGCATGTGAACCCACAGTTATCTCAGTAAAAATTTCAATGAAAAAAATGGAAATACACATAAAACCTTTGGGCTGACGTCTGTCTGTGTACATTCAGGAACTATGATCATGTCACTGGTTGCACAGGAGTCAGTTGTGAAAAAAAAACCTCAGTTCTCTAAAAGCTAATTAGGACAAATGATGAACTCATAATAGCAAATTATTTAGCAGGCTGTAAACCAAAAAGGTGTAGAAATGTAGCAGTTGGATTCTTTTTCCTGACTATAGCACTTCTGCTATTCAATCTATTTTCTCCACATATTAAAAGCCTGAAGAGGCCATGATGGTTGAAATAGAAGTGACATTACTGCAACAAATAAAAGAATATTTGAGAGAACGAAGAGTTTCTAATATTTTGACAATCTATGATACTCCATAAAGCCTTGTGCTGTGTATGCCCCAGGAGGACTGAGGAAACAAAGCGTGGAGAGGGTAAGACAGGTCTAAGGAACCACTTAGATAATATTAGACTTTTACAAATAATTGATATCAAATCTGCCCATCTAGTGCACAAAAACAAAATAGACGTTGGCACCATTTTAACCTGATAATCCATGGAAAAAGGACTATTTTTTTATTGAGAAAGCATGCAATCATTTCCTTATAAACACTGAAAGCAAATAAAGGGAAAATTTAAAGGTAAAATGTAACAATAACTCTTATAATATATCTCCTCTCAATTAAACAGGCCAATCACCCTAAAGACAAGTATTTTTCAGCCTGAATATTTATCAGACTACATAATCCACTGTACCAATTGCATTTAGATTTTGTAACAAAACCTTTTCTATAAAAGTTAGTACAGCTAGAAGTGAATATAAATCAGTCCCCCTTTAAACATTTAACACATCGAAAGCTATATGCTACGTACATTAACCAACAGTTTTCTCAAAGTAATGGGGCTTTAGACGAATATCAGAATTGGTATTTGTGGCAAAGAACCAGACAGAATAGCAAGCAGGGATTTTTCCAGTTAACCTATTATCTTCTAAGTTTACCGTTTAATTATCGCAGTACAATTTAACTGATAAGTATTTCAGTACTTGAAGCATGAGCTCTACAGAACAAGAAGCCGCAGGTTATAGTAACAGGGTTTGGATCTGACAAACAACTGCAGCGTTGATCAAACGTTGTCTTCTCGTCGTTGAATGACTGGGTCTGCAGTTCCTCTTCGCTGGTGGGGCTGTCCTCTGATTCTTTCATGGTGGTAGTCTTGTCTTGGCTGGTGGCACGCCAACTTTCTTTGTTTTCGTCCTCAACCTCCTCACGTTGTAGATCTTTGGAAATCAGCTGTCTGGCCAATTTGATGTTCAGTCCTTGGTTGCAGTGAAGCTTCCTTTTCATTTCGAACTGACGCTGTTTCTCTGGTTTGTCCAGGAAGATTTTGCTGGTGTGTGCCCCATCCTTCTTCGGCTCCCGCACTGGATAGTTGAGCTCCGAGGTATCAGTGGTGGCTAATTTATTAGCTAAGCTGTCGAGGGTCATGGCTTCTTTAGTTTCGAAATCACTCTTTGCACCTCCTTCCCGTCCTCCTCCAGACCGAGCTGGCGAGCACCGGGCTCATTCATCTTCATGAAATCGCAGTTTCTGTACGCTGGGCGGTAGGTCGCCAGGAAGTTCGACTCATCCCACTTCTGGGACTTCCCGGCCCTGGTGTCACAAAGTCCAACGCGGGTGATGCCACAGTGGTCCCCGCCGCCATCTGCGCCGCCGTCAACGCCTGGGGGGAGGGGGGAGGGGAGGCCAAGAGGACCTATGTTTTTGTTTGTTTGTTTAATAGTGTGAGATAGGAAATCTGCCTTCGTTGCACGTGAAACGGGGACGCACTGTCTTGTGAATTTCTCTGTCCCCTGTCTGTGTGCGGGCGGACAGTGTAAAACGTATTTCTCCCTGGGGGTCACAGGCCAAAGTTTCAAAGCCACTCCTTGGGGTGGAAAGATTGGAGGCCTAGGGGCTAGAGGACCCTTCCTACCCTGACCCTCGGTTAAAGGTCCCAATGCCCAGCCACTTACACTGGCTGGGAACTCCTCCCTCTGCCCCCCCACCCAATCCTCCATGATCACATATTGTTTCTTCTCCTATCCAGCCCTTCGCTACTGGCTTAAATATTTCAAGAAACTCCAGTTCTGCCGCCACCCTGATTCAAGTCACCACCATCTATGGTCGGGGTCACCGTCACAGCCTCTGAACTAGCCCTCACCCCCATCACCCCTCCTGCTGCCTTCCGACCTCTCATTCACCCTCTATTCAGTGTGGTCTTTTAAAAACGCCATCAAATCTTGTCGCATCTCTCTTTCAAACCCTTTAACGGCTGCCCATTTTCTTTCACATAAAGACCCAAATCCAGAAGAGGCAGAAAGCAGCTCTATGATGGGCTCCCCCCGCACCCCAGTTCTCCGCACCCTGCCTCTAGCTTTGTATGCTGGCCTTTCGGTTCCAGGAGCGCTCTCCTCCCTTCCTGTCCCAGAGTTTTTCCCTGGGTTCTTCCCACAGCCTGCAGTGCCCCTTCAGATTTCAGCTCAGTCATGACTGCCTTACAAGAGCCTGTTTCCTGACCTCCAAAGCAGATAGGGTGCTTTCATGGCCTCTCTTATTGTCCTTGACAGCGCTCGGAGTTGTGGCAATTATGTTTATTATCTGTGTACACTAGATGGTCAATTCCAAGACACAGGGGAAGGTGTCTGTTTTTCTCAGGATTGTCTTCAGCTTCACAACATGATGCTGTAGCTGGCATATAGTAGGTATTACCACAATATTTATGGAATGAAGAATAAATGATAGGTGACAGGTAATTGGAAGACTGAGATTTGTGAGTGGAGAGAAGGGGGCTCCAGAGTTTTCACTGTCAGTTACAATTTGTTCAATCAGTCACATGAGAAAAACACCCCACATGTGGAAGTTGGGGACTGTCCCAAAGAGTGACTTCGGAACATTCTGTCTTTCACAGGCCTCATATTTCATAGGCAGTGACATTCTTCTCAAAGACAAAAAGGAAATTAAGATCCAGTTTCACATTTTACCCTCCAGGTAGCATTCACAAGAGGTTTTTTTTTCCCCCTTCTGTTAACATTTTGCTTCCTCTTCTCTCCCTCAGCGTCTTTCTACATTTTAGAACACAAAAGCAAAAGCATGAAAGAACCATAAAACTTTTACAAGGGTCTTAAGTACCTTAAGTTCAAGTTGTCCTGTATTCTCCAAAGTCCTACTAACTTCAGGAGCTCTGCAATCACTTTAAAACTGTGTTATTCTTCTCAGAAAAAGAATTTCCTGATACCAGTACTCTTTGAAAAAAGCTGTATTGTGTGGTAAGGGCTTTCAGGGATTCAAAAGCCGATCTTCAGGTCTACAGGAAAACCCTCCGGTATGTGAGGGGGCAAAAAAACCAACTTTCATTATTCAGAAATACTCCAGGCCACTCTTTTCAAAAACCTGCCTGAAAGGCAGCACAGACCCGCACAAACGCAATTGGTCTTGGCTGGCAGGCACAGTGGGTCTGTGCATGTTTAGCTGTAAACAGGATGTTGAGGGAGACGCTGAAAATCCAAAAGCAAAATCCAGTGCATTGGGATTTTGCTTTTCAGTGTACACAGCACCCACCCCACATACTGTGATCTGAATATACAAGCTGTTCAAGATAGAATGAGTCAGCCCTCCCGAAGTTCTTGAGTTTTCTGAAATGCAGTAACACATTGGCGGTTCATGCTAGGGCAAGAGTACCGTGATTGTGACCTTCTGACCTGGGCCACAGACAAAATATTTTAAAGAAATCACCAGGTATTACAGATCTCAGTTGCACATTATTTAAAAGTAATCTCTTTCGCCTACCATTGGCTAATTATCTGCTTCATGAAAGTTGCCCTAAGAAAAATCCAAATTTTGAGTTTTTACCATCAAGCTAAAAACTCTCAATCTAGTCAGCATTACCACAAGCCGAAAATTTAGAAAAGATCGGCACTCTTTCCAACATTCCTCTTTACACGATTCACTTGTTATTGCCCTAGGACAAGGGCTGAGCAGATAGGTCTGTGGTTCTACCACACACACACACACACACACACACACACACACACACACACCCGAGACTGACAAAAACTTTCCTAGTCAATGACACGTTATATGAAATTTAGATACAGACCTAGAAAGCCCTTCTTTCAACAAATATTTAGTGTGACCATTGACTGTATGTCCAGTAGGAGATTCTCTTGATTCTGAATGCACAAAAGTGAGGTTGTGCTTCAGTGGCCTTCAATGGGTTAATATTTGATAAATACATCTAAATATGCATGCTGTTCTGTCATCACAGTTTTAAAATACATTTAAAAAGTCACTGATATTTAAACTAACTGATTGTTAAGCCTGACGGTAGGTCACTCCATGGTTTCATTTCTTCCACTAAGAATCATTTCCCTTCCATGCAGCCATTCTCCAAATGCGGTAAATACAGGAATTGGTTCAAAAGGAGAACTAAGCCAGGAACCAGAAATTCTCAACCAAAGATTGGAACACCTAAGAAACCAAAAGCTACCATAAACAAGGAAGGTATCCCAGATGTCCTACTGGGTGCCATTGGTGAGAAATTAGTAAAACAATGAGAAGCAGTCAGCTTTTTTGGGACCAATCATGCTGCCAGAAGTGGAGATTAATACTAGTTCAGCCATGTAGCATCTGAAGGTGTACATCAGTCCACCCAAGAATTGTCCACAGTACTTGGAGAATTATGTTGGATATTGTGTAATATAAAAATAAAAGTGCTATCTGGTTTTGAATCTATATTTCTCTCTCTCATATTCCAAACCCAAATTTCTGATATTCTATTAAATATCCCTGCCTTAGATTGGGTTCCCTTAGAAGCTGACCCTGAGACAAGGACTCGAGTGCAAGTAGTTTACTCAGGAGGAGATTTGCCGAAAATACTGGTAGGGGATGGGGGAAGTGAGACAGAGAAGGGCAAGAGGCAAAGGATGCATTGGAAAAGCAGTTCCTACTGTAGGCAACTAGAGCTTAATGCTCCTGAGAAACTCTAGAAGTCAATGTAGAAGAGTTACCCCCATGGCCTACCTCCACCCCACTGGCGAAGGAGCTAGAGTATATTTATATATCACTTGCTGCCATCTGGACTTCAGGCCTGCTGGGAGAGGGGAGGGGCATGAATCCCTTGCACTCTGGATTCCTGGTGGAGCCTGGGGAGTGGATGGCCAACTTACTGATGCATGCAGACTCGTGTTGGCTTCTTTCCTTCCCTGTTTCACAAGCTCTCTCCTGCTATCCTGCCCCCTGGGATCACAGTCCCAAATGAAAGCCTTTTTCTCCGGCTCTGCTTTTGCAGGAGGAACCCAAACTAAGAGAAGGATTGTGTACTTCATCGTTAATTCCTAAACAATCATTGGCACATGTCCATATTCTGCGGCAGATGTCCATATTTCTGCAAAGTGGGTGAATGAACTGAGGGAAGTGAACAAAAATCTTTTGAAAGGAAGAGCCTGGAAATACGGGTAGGTCTAGAGAAGTTCAGTGAGACGATGGTTTTCCATCTTTTTCATTGTAAGTTTTAAAGCGGTAATTTTTTTTAAAAATTATTTATTCATTTATTTTTGGCTGTGTTGGGTCTTCGTTGCTGTGCACGGGCTTTCTCTAGTTGTGGCGAGCGGGGGCTACTCTTTTGTTGTGGTGCGCAGGCTTCTCATTGTGGTGGCTTCTCCTGTTGTGGAGCACGGGCTCTAGGCTAGCAGGCTTCAGTAGTTGCGGCACGCGGGCTCAGTAGTTGTGGCGCACGGGCTTCGTTGCTCCGCGGCATGTGGGATCTTCCCAGACCAGGGCTCGAACCCGTGTTCCCTGCATTGGCAGGTGGATTCTTAACCACTGCACCACCAGGGAAGCCCAGTAAACCTTGTTTTACAAATTAAATATTACATAGAATTACAGAATAAAAATTAGTAAAATTGGAGCTAGGAAGCAGTGGAGTTTGTCTGTCTGCGTGGAGGTAGGGACACCAGAGTTCTCACTGCTTGGGATCTCAGAGGTGGCTCCTGAGACATCACAGGGACTTGAGGAGGGGGCGTCAATTGGAAAATCACTGCAAGAGTCATTGCCCAAAGCAATTTATCCCAAGGGTTGATTTTCTGAGTGATCACTTGTTTTGAGAATGGGGGTGAGGAGATTTTCTACTGTAGTGATTCAGACCAGCATATTCATTGAGTGCAGGTCACTAAGGAGACAGGACATCAATGAGAATTTCTGACGTTACATAGTAAACATCAACTTTGCCCCCTTCCAAGAGGATAATCTAGTTTGGGAATGTTCAGTGAAGAAAAATGTCATCAGTGGGAATGTCTGCCAGGAGTTATATAGAAAATAATGGCAAAGATATCAGAAGGCAGGCCTTGCAGAAACGGGCTGAAAAGAAAAAAGAAAAGAAACGGACTGAAGGGTGTGTAGTAGAGAAATGTTTTCCCTGCTCCCTAAAGGATGCTAAGATGTTTCATGCTTAGGGAAATGAAAAAGTGCTCAACCTCTTGCTCTTGACCCTGCTTGGTCAGGGAAGGAGCTATTGATGAAATAGAACTCACACTTATCAACTATTTTTTTATTTTATTTTTTAATTGAAGTATAGTTGATTTACAGTGTTGTGTTAGTTTCAGGTGTACAGCAAAAGTGATACAGTTATACACACATACACACACACACACACAGACATATTCCTTTCCAGATTATTTTCCCTTATAGGTTATTACAAAATATTGAGTATAGTTCCCTCTGCTCTACAGTAGGTCCTTGTTGTTTATTTTATATATAGTAGTGTATATATGTTAATCCCAAAGTCCTAATTTATCCCTCCCCCCACCTACTTTCCCCTTTGGTAGCCATAAGTTTGTTTTCTATGTCTGTGAGTCTGTTTCTGTTTTGTAAATAAGTTCATTTGTATCATTTTTTTAGATCCCACATATAAGCGATATCATATATTTGTCTTTCTCTGTCTGGCTTACTTCACTTAGTATAAAAATCTCTAGGGACTTCCCTGGTGGCACAGTGGTTAAAAATCCGCCTACCAATGCAGTGGACACAGGTTCAATCCCTGGTCTGGGAAGATCCCACATGCCGTGGAACAACTAAGCCCACGTGCCACAACTACTGAGCCCGCGTGCCACAACTTCTGAGCCCGCGTGCCACAACTACTGAAGCCCGTGAGCCTAGAGCCCATGCTCCGCA